TTAGAACCAAATTAGAACCATATTAAACCCATATTAGAACCATATAGTGTAAAACGAGTCATCTTCGAAAAATGCGGTCTAGCCTTATCATGTCGAAGAATGATTTTCGCTTTGGGATCTTCCCTCTGGCCAAGGATTTGGCTGACTTTAATCGAGATGTTGAAAACTATTTCTAAACTTCCTTGAATAGCAAAAAAAGGCGATTTTCAATTTAGTTATGACGTCTAATTAATATTTTATTTTACTATAAATATCAGATATTAGACATTAACAGTAGACACAAAAATTTAGCCACCCCAGCTCCGCGACAGCTCAAATACAGCTCTCGTTTCCACAAATGGCTCTCAATAGCACAAAAATCCTAATAAAACCCGATTTTCTCAACTGTTTCTGTACGTTTCCTTCTACGGTAGAAAAGATTACGATAGTTTATCCACGAGATGCGGCGGTCGATCGCTCGTTCGTCGACTCAGCCGCTTCTCGGCAGCAATTTTGTGCCGTTTTCCATTCGATTGTCTTGTTTTTTGTCGTTTTGCGTCTTTTGAAATGATTTTGCTTGTAAATGTAAATGTTCATTTGAATAAATGTCTGCAATTTCTCTATTTCCATTTAAAGAGCCCATTTCGGCCACGCAAAGCAAGATTGGTGCACGGAAGTGGACGCCCGCCGGCCGATTGGGGAAGAAAGGTGAGAAAGATAGCGTTCTAGGATAGATAATCATTCTAGGATAGATAATCATTTTAGAAAAAAAGGTACATTTTAGAAAACTACCGTAATAAAACATTTATAGAAATGCCATTTTTTTGGGACCTAGTCAAAACAGCTCCATTCAAAACAGCTCCATTCAAAACAGCTCCATTCAAAACAGCTCCATTCAAAACAGCTCCATTCAAAACAGCTCCATTCAAAACAGCTCCATTCAAAACAGCTCCATTCAAAACAGCTCCATTCAAAACAGCTCCATTCAAAACAGCGCCTAATTTAAAGATTTTAATGTAGATTAACCAATGCTCTTTCGGAGTTTTCGATGAAAAAATGAAACAACGGGGTTAACACATATGAATGTAACAACATAAAGATTTTAAATGATCGACTGGACTCTTACCTAAGGATCCATTCTGAATCGCAAACTTTCCGTAAAGAAATTTCAACGATTGAGGTGATGATTGAGGTAGAGTCATTTGCCGAGATGTAGCCGCATCAAGACGTTTTTCGAAGTCTTCTTGAACATCTAGTAGCTTTTGAGCAACAAAGCAAGCGGAACATCGGGAAGTAAGAGCCCAAATCTTTAAACATTCACTAAACTTTAAAAACACAAACTTTTAGTGCAGAGATTTAGCCGCATCTTAAATCAAGTTGATAAAGCGCACCCCATTGAGCAAGTTCACAATTGTAAGATTTCTGAGACGAGTTTCCAAGTTGTTCGCCACGACAGATTGTTTCAATACGAGCTCCACGTTTCAATGGAGTGTAACGGTCGAACGAAGCGTTTTTGAATAAACAAAAACAACAAAAGACTTTTCGAAGTACGAAGATAAGCCTAATTTGAAAATATCAAAAATTATTGTGAAAATTGTAAAACTATGAAAAGTTTACGCAAAAATCCAAAATTCTATTTTTAAGGTTGAAATTGGAACGCTAAACAAGGAAATTTATATAAGATTTGAGTCGAGAAATTTCTACCGTTCCCCGACAATTTGTCGCATTCTATTTCACGCTCGTTTCGCGTTCGAAAAATTTCGTCATCCGCAAAAATTATTTCAACAACTTTGTGTGATTTTTTTCTTACTTTTCCCTCGTTAACTTAACTTTTTCTTTTTCTTGCGCATTTTCCCCATTGTTGCACACAAATGTTGTTAAAGAAACAGCTGCTATTTGCATTAATGTTAAAGAAACAGCTCACATTTGAGCAATTCCATTAAATTTGAAACGAAACCCTGAAACAACTTGTCCGGAACGGGAAATTTGTCTCGGAAATCTTACAATCGTTAACTTGCTCAATGTTTTAACGTTTTATCGTTTTAAACTTTCCAACCACACACTTGACGTAGATAGTAATTCCATTCAACAACTGTCTCCTCGTCAAACTTTTGTTCCTGCATTGTATCCATGATCGTGGTTTGATTATCGCACTAAAAATCTGATGTAGCTGGATCTTAAATCAAGTTGATAAAACGATAAAACGATTAAACGATTAAACGATAAAACGATTAAACGATTAAACGATAAAACGATTAAACGATTAAACGATAAAACGATTAAACGATTAAACGATTAAACGATAAAACGATTAAACGATAAAACGCTAAAACGATAAAACGCTAAAACGCTAAAACGCTAAAACGCTAAAACGCTAAAACGCTAAAACGCTAAAACGCTAAAACGCTAAAACGATAAAACGCTAAAACGCTAAAACGATAAAACGCTAAAACGATAAAACGCTAAAACGCTAAAACGATAAAACGATAAAACGCTAAAACGCTAAAACGCTAAAACGCTAAAACGCTAAAACACTGAGCAAGTTCACGATTGTAAGATTTCTGAGACAAGTTTCCATTTGCAGACAAGTTATTTCAGGGGTTTCGTTTCAAATTTAATGGAATTGCTCAAATGTGAGCTGTTTCTTTAACATTAATGCAAATATCAGCTGTTTATTTAACAAAATTTGTGTGCAACAATGGGGAAAATGCGCAAAAAATAGAAAAAGTTAAGTTAACGGGGGAAAAGTAAGAAAAAAACCACGCATCACAAAAAGTTGTGCAAATGAAATAACTTTTGCCGACGACGAGATTTTTCGAAAGCGAAACGAGCGCGAAATAGAATCCGACAAATTGTCGGGGTACGGTAGAAATTGCTCGACTCAAATCTTATATAAATTTCATTTCACAAAGTTCGTCGTTTTGCGGGCATTTGAAGGAAAACACAATTTGAAGTTGTCGATCATCTAATGGAAATATTCGGAACGTTTGGAGCCCCAAAAATTCTTTAGTCCGACAACGACATATAAATCTCCTTGTTTAGCATTCCAATTTCAACTTTAACAATAGAATTTTCGATTTTTGCGTAAACTTTTCACAGTTTTACAAATTTCACAATAATTTTTGATATCTTCCGCTTTAGTAGTAGAGTTAAAGTAGTAGTTCACTTTGAGTTAAAGTAGTAGTTAAAGCTTCACTTTGAGTGCCTGAACGCGATTTTTTTTTCTCTGATTAGACAAACGGGAACATTTCTTTTATCTACTGCAGCGAGATTACTGTAAAAATAGCAAGTCTACTTAAAAATGCTGCCGCAACAAGCTTTTAATCCGAAGATAGTGCAAAAGGGGGTTTTTTTCACAATTGTCGCCACAGGAAACTGACTTGCGCGTAGTCAATTATCCATCCGTAGCCCTTTTGTTGATCCCCGTCGCCTTGTTCCCGGAATAATTGCAGCATTCCCATTGGCGTTCTTTCGGCGTTTAAAACGTCGTTTGAACAGCGTTGAACGGCGCTCTTTTGACAAGCGCTCTTTTGAACAGCGCTCTTTTGACAAGCGCTCTTTTGACAAGCGCTCTTTTGAACAGCACTCTTTTGAACAGCACTCTTTTGACAAGCGCTCTTTTGAACGGCGCTCTTTTGACAAGCGCTCTTTTGAACAGCGCTCTTTTGAACAGCGCTCTTTTGACAAGCGCTCTTTTGAACAGCGCTCTTTTGAACAGCGCTCTTTTGACAAGCGCTCTTTTGAACAGCGCTCTTTTGAACGGCGCTCTTTTGAACAGCGCTCTTTTGAACAGCGCTCTTTTGAACGGCGCTCTTTTGAACAGCGCTCTTTTGACAAGCGCTCTTTTGAACGGCGCTCTTTTGACAAGCGCTCTTTTGAACAGCGCTCTTTTGAACGGCGCTCTTTTGAACAGCGCTCTTTTGAACAGCGCTCTTTTGAACAGCGCTCTTTTGAACGGCTTTATTTTGACTAGGTCTCATTTAAAGCGTGATCGCAGAAAAAAAACCGCAGCAATCCCGTCGATCCTCTCAAATTGACAAAAAGACAGTCAGCTAGACAGACAGATAGCCAGACAAACAGACAGCCAGCCAGCTAGACAGAAAATGATACTGTAGTCTGTCTGTCTGTCTGTCTGTCTTTTTGACCGGGATACGGTATCATTTCCTAAATCATTTTCTTTTTTTTTCTATCATAATCCCTAATCTACAAGTCCCATTTGAGCATTTAAACATTTAAACATTGAGCATTTTCAAAATCATTCAAAGCAAACTTTTCAACATCAACTTTTCCTCACAGAACACCGAAGAGTTGGAGAATTTGCGTAAACACGTGGAAGGAGCAGCCCATCATCGATACGTGGAACAGGTGATGAAGAAAAAGTCTATCGTAAACCCTCTAATCCCGCAGCACGGTCATAATGACCGTGCGGAGTGTTTCGTAGTCTAGCTCAGTCTAGCTTTCGCATTCGACACTGTTTTCCGTTACCCAACTAAACAAAACAAAACAAAACTAAACTAAACTAGAGTACGATCTCATTATCGCAATCAATATCTACAGTACGATCTGATCTCTTGTTAAACTATCAAAGTTTTCAGTCAAAAGTCGAATCGTCACTTCCGATGGATCCGATCCCATTGCAAGTTCCCGATGAGAATGAGAACGATTCTCCAAATGATGCAGAAGAGATTGAAGCTTGAAGCTTGAACCCCCACCTCTTACCGTACCCTCTTTACCGTACCCTTTTTACCGTAACCCAAAAAAAGCTGAGCACATTTTAGAAATCCATTTTGTTGTAAATATTGTTCGATTGAAAGAAATTTAAGAAAAACGAAAAAAATTACAAAAAAATTTCGCTGTAATTTCAATTTTTCAAATCGTGTATTATTCGCTAATTTTTTAACCAACCATCAAAATTTTAATAAACATAATTTTAATTAATTAATTAAATTAAATTAAATTAAATATAATTTTAACCTCTACATTAAAAACGCAGAAAAAAAAACAAACAAACCCGTGGGTGTGAATCGCAAAAAACGAGAAAGAAATGGATGGATGGATGGATGGATTTTGGGATTTTGGGGGATTTTCTAAAAATCTTCTAAAAAGTTGTTTTGAGCTTCAAAATCTCCACAACACCTTTTACCAATTTCCCCAAATACACAAAAACAAAACATCAAAAACATAAAACAAATAATTGAATGTTAAAAAACAAGAAAGATTACAATGACAAAAGAAATATTTGATCAAAGCTTTTGATCAAAAGAACAAAAAAAAGAGAAAACAAAAGACCTGAAAGATTTTGGAAAGAAAACGCGAGAAAATTGAGCGAAAAAATCGGGTCAGAAAGTCAGGAAGGTCAGGAAATTTGGCAGTGAATTGGCAAAATTTTGAGGAGAAGTGAGCCAACAAAAAATAATTTGATAAGTAGATAAATCTTTGAATAACAAGGCCAACAAATGGCTATAATGTGAGGAAAGTACCGTATCTTTAAAAGGGAATCCCTTGAATAGGCAAATTTCAATTCAAGTTCTCAATTTTCATTGATAAAATCTAAATTTTTCTAGAACAAAGCCCGAGTTGAGGGCTCGATTTGCATTCGTTTCCCTTTCGAGGGCTACGGTAGACCGGTAATGAAATATCTGACAGACAAGAAATAGTGAATATGAACGACACAATGATGAAATTATGCAGAAGTCGGTGTCAGCACGGAACCCTTCGGAAAAAGACCCAAATAGAGGAAAAGAGCCGCTTCTTGATCCTCGACCGTCACACCGTGTTCACTGGAGAAATGCGCCGACAAAGCGGAGACCTAAAGGAAAAATTGACTCGTTATTGATTTGAATTTAATATTTAACACGCTAGAAATCTTGAAACTTCACTTTTATCCAAAATATTTAAATTCCCCTATAGTTTACATAAAATAATTATATTCCGTAAAAACTAAGCACTGATTTGTAAAAAATTGACTCAGAATTGAAAAAAATTGAAAAAAACGTCGTTTGAACAGCGCTATTACTTATTGCGCAGAATTGAGCAAAAACTTTACGATATCGCATTTTAAAGCTCTCTAAACTTATACTAACTTATACTAATGCTCCAGTTTACCAGCATTGTCTCTAACATTGTCGACTAGATATCCCATCAATTTACTCGATCCACGCAAAACCCACCTCACAACCCCTCCAATCACATCGATTGCAGCGAACCTCTTGTCCGGCGAGCCGCACCCGATCCTCAGTCGTTGTAGCCGCCCGAATCTGAGCAAAAACATTTAAAAGATGTTAGAAAGCATCCTTTTGCAGCTCAGATCTCAGAAAGTCTCTTTTTACAGCATTAACAGTACAAGTGGGCAATCTAAAATTTCTAAATCCAAAAAATGTTCTCACCTTGCTCGTTTCGGGATTCAAAATCGCCGCCTTCGTTAAATGCGTGAGCGGCTGATCCAAATGGTGATTGATCTCATGGAAATGCACTAAAAAGGGGAATTTGTAAAAGTTATCGAAATATTTATCAATAAAAGATATATTCACTCACCAACGTTGTAGGTGTTCGACGAGTAATCGCAGAGTTTACAGATGAAATACCCGGCTGTTCCGTGCATTTGCACGTGTTTGTCATAGGAAAGCTTCGAAATACAATAGAAACCACATTTCGGACAGTAGAGCTAAAAGAATTGTGATTATAAAGTGATCAACGAGGTCTTGTCTTCCCTATTTTGCCTCATTACAGCAACCCTAGTTTTCATCAAAGTCACTCACTTCTCGATCACTTTTCCGATTCAACGAGCGCAATCTCGGCTTCGTCCAATCATCCTCTTGATTCTGAGCATTCCGTTTCACCAAGGCTTTCAAGCGATTCTGTTGACTCTAAAGAAATCAAGAAAAAAGAAAATGCCGAATACAACTCATCAACAAACCACAGCGTGCTCGATCCTGTGTTGCTTGAATTTCTCGAGGAATTGCGTTCGATACGAGCAATGAATGCACGAGTAGACGGGCGCTCCCTCCATAATGATCTCACTCTCACGAGCCAAGCGACGCGCCGAGGCGGAGGTGATTTTCCTAAAAAAAAAAAAACAGAGGTTGGTATCGTGTATAGCTAAAAGACTAACACACAAAGCAATTCTAGAAAACTCACTTGAAAATATCATGCCCAGCAGTGTGTAGATCCAAATGATTGTAGAGAGCCTCGGGAGCAAAGCAGCTAAAAAAATTAAGCATCAATTTATGTCTACAACAAAGCGCAGAGGATCATCATCACTCTAATATTGAAATAATCTACCTGTAAGTGCACATTGTACAAGCCATGGGTCTCTTCCCAGGACCGTGCATGTCGGCGTGTAATCTAAAAATGATAAATTAACATCATATTATAATATTTTTAAGCTCAACAGTAACAGATTGCTAATCAAACTTCAAATTTGCACACCTGTATAGCGTTGGGTCGTCATCTTCATACGGACAATCCAGATCCGAGCATCTCATCATAGCTGATGACGAGCTCAGCGAGGATTCAGGGGTTGCCGAATCACTTGAGGACTCTAGAATGAGAAAAACGTCTAGAACGTCTTTTTTTCATGTTTCAATTCAAATTTGAGTGCTCTATACTAAGTTAAGAGATGGTAAAGTACTACGTAGTATTACAAAAGTAAAGTAAAATAAAATATTACCAAAACACCCAAGAACATCAACTCACTTGATAGCTTCAAATTGCGCAAGTATGGAGGCAAATTCTTTCGCATGTACTTCACGACTAAAGCCGGATCGGGCATCGTGAATGGCAAGCCGAGATCCGGCGGAGATTGGCTTTCTGAAAGAAATATGGATTTTGTCCTAGCTGAATCTTTAGTAAGAATTAAACGAGTTTTTCATTTTTTTGTTCGTTACAGAGTTTATCTCAAAAACGTACCCCTTTTCAGCTCATTTTTCACATCAGAAGTTGCCCGCCCGAGGAGATCAGGTGATTGCGATGATTTGCTTGATCTGAAAAATGATTGATTTCTAAATTGGTTGAGGGTTTTTAAACGGATTTGCTACCAATTAAGTTTAATGAAATACTTTAGAGCCAAAATCCCATAGAACTACTGAGACTTTAGAGCCAAAATCCCATAGAATTATTGGTCAGCCAAATCTCATAATGTCAAACACCCGCACTCACTTCGGTGTATTCACTCCATTTCCATTCTCGAGTCTCTCCAAACAGACATCAGCCAGCAAGGACCTTTTCCTCAGTCCGGTCAACGATGTCGAATGTCGAGTCTCATAATGTTTTTGCATTCCCTCATAGGTCACTTCGTTATGTGAGCAGCCGGCAATTCGACACTCGAACTTTTGTGCTCCATGCAATTGAGTGTGCTGATGAAGGGATGTCAATGAGCCGGTGCTAGATTTGAAGGGTAAGCCAGCTTGTTTAATAGTCTTAATAAGCTTATCCAGAGTAGTGCCCTAGATTTACCCATAATTTGAAATTCTAATTCACACCTGAAAGTGCAGTGTTCACAATTGAATTTGCTTGGTTTCTTGTGTTTCTCCTTGTGATTCCACAAACGGCCATATGTGTCAGTGGCAAAGGGGCATTCGCTGAAAGAGCTGAATATTAGAACTTAAGAATAAAAATTCTAAAACTTTACAAATGAATCAATTCTTTATCGCTACTAAGTTCTACAATCCTACCACCCAAATCAATTCTACAATTAAGTCAATTCTATTAGGTTGATGCATAAGTCTTTTTGTTCCTTTTCGTCTGCCGTTTCAAGCCAACAAATGCACCAATTAAATTACGGTTGATTTCATTAGAAAAACCAATTATTTTTCTGCAAAATAACATTAGAACGGGTTTAAAAATATTTAATGCCTGGATTTTCTTGAGAGTATGAAGTCGGGTAGTCAAAAAGGGCTAACTCGATGATGCGGTTTAGACACCTTAGCTAAAGAAAACCTATCTTCGTGTCAATAGATAAAAGATAGAGAAAAAAACGTTTGATATTTCGCCAAAATTTCCGTAGAGTTTTTTATAGATTTTTACGAAAAAGGCGTTTTTCACTCTCGAATTTGCTTGAAAGTGAATCGAAATTGATTTAAAAAGATGGAAATTGAACAAAAAAAACACTTTTTTTTATAGAGCAAACTATAGATTAATTGGTGAATTTGTTACTTTTTAACAGAAGTACGAAAAAAACGAAAAGACTTATGCATCAACTTATTACAATTCGATTCAAATTTCATGCTTTACCTTCAATCTAGCAACAATACCGTAACTACTAGAATCAAAAAAAAAAACGTCGACGACTCACTTGCATACGTGAGCCAATCCATTATTGATCAATCCAGCAGAAGTCTGTGGCGTTTCCGCGTTCTCTTTCTGTTGCTTTGGGTGCAGAGTCTCGTGAAATTCCAATCTTTCCGTAAAAACACTCGCATAGTTGCACGTGGAGCATTGAATCGCATCACGAGACGGGCAAAGATGGCGTCTAAAAGTAAATACGAGTTAGGATTGAGGGCACAAACACAAACCTAGCATGTTGCCAGAGTTGATGACTGTAATGAGCGATGAATGGACACATGTCGCACATGTATCGCCGTTGTTTTGTCGCGCCGATGCCCGTGCGTCGATAGCCGATCAGACCGAATACCGGATGAATGACGTCGATTTGCTGAAAGAAATACATCTTTTAGAGATTTTAGAGTTTTAGAGAGGATATCTTTTAAATCATTTTGTCAAAGTAAAAGATATTCAATTATTTAGCTTACATTGAGTCATTTTAAAATCGCCTAAACCCACCTTGCAAACATGCAACCTTTCCATTGGGTCCTTGATTTTTTTGCCATGCAGTTTGACATGAGTACGAAGAGACATGAATCTATAAAACCAGTATGAACAAAGCCCCGTAAAACACTCAAACATTGATTATCCATTATCGTTATCTATGATTTCTAGTATTCTTGACATTATCTTTCCTTGATTTCTAGTATTTATTCTATCCTTGACAAACCTTTTCGTTGAATACGAGCAATACGGACAAGAATGTTCCCGTTTAACGCAACCGTGCATCGCTCGGTGAGCCTGAAATGATATTCAATTGACACAATCTAGAGAAAAAGGCATTTTAAGATTTGATGCGTGAAAAAGTTCTAAAATAAAACATTTTTCAAAAATTCAAAAAAGCCATTTTGTAGATTAAGGATAGGGCTTTTGAATCAAGCAAACCGTTTTTTGATTGGATTTTTTCAGAAAACACATTACCCAAAAACGATCGTTTATAAATTGCCAACCTAATATATGATAATACTCAAATGAAGTCTAAGTTTTCGAAGGTTGTACCTTCATATCGCAAAAGTGTTTTGTTGTGTATGGGCATTCCGGGCAACGCTCACGTCGAACACCATCTTTCTGCAAAAAAAAGAAACGATTTACTTGCAAGTGTTGACCAACAGTAATCGGTACCGTGACTCTTCCACTTTGCATAGAGCCAGCTAAGTTCATGTTTTAAATAAAACTTATGGTAGTATGCAAAGTGAAGCCACGTGTAGATTACATCAAAGTACGTGTCACTGTTATTGTTATTGTTATTGTTATTGTGTATGCTGATATTGCTGATATGCTCATGTGTATGCTGATATGATATTGATGACATTTTGATAAATAATGTACCAAATCGCGTAACTAAACTCACATCAACGAAACGAAGCTTTTTGGCTGAAGATGAAGCGTCTTGAGAGCTAAAGCTTGGTGTTTATGTTTTGGTTGATTGGTTTGGGCATGCTCAATTTGCTTTGTTAGCCTAGATTTCAAATGAAGAGATTTTCAAAATCTCAAAGCTCTTCGTGTTTAATTCATGTTACTTATTCTCTCAATCGCTCACTTTGTTTCCCCATCAGTTGTCGTTGTTGTGTTTGGCTCTTCTTGTTGTGTTTCTCTCGCAATCCTTTCATTTTGTGTCGCCTCTTGATCTTCGTCCATTCTCTCATCGCTCACCTCAGCTGCAATCGATTCCAATGAGATGTTTGTCCTAAAAGAGAAATCTTGAATCTACGTTCTCAAATTCCAATCACTTCTCATTTTCCAACTTCGGAGGTGTCTGCGAATTTGATGATGCGTTATCATTTTGCACTTCGATTTTGACACTGTCACTTTTATGAAGACGAATGTGAGTGGCCAAGAGATCATCGCCTCGGCACGAGAATGTGCATTGGGGGCACTAAAATGGAGATTTGAACACAAATTCAATGACCAAACTGTTGTACCTGATTCTCGCTTTTGATCAAGTGTTTCCCCTCGTGTCGTTTCAAACGGCTCTTCGACGAGGCCAAATACGGGCATTGTTTACACGGAAGTGTGGCTTGTAGGCTGCCAGCTGAACGGGCGCCCTGGTCTTTTGCCATTTCCTGAAAAGATAAACTAATGGCAATTAAAGGCAAATTAAAGATACTCAACGGAGCTTTAAACAAACGATTCTAAACAAACGGCTGTTGAAACGGTTCTAAATGGTGCCTTTTAAAGCTGGATTGCCCTATTCTAAAGCTTTACGAATGCAAATTTCTGTTTTTTTTTTCTGCTTGTGCTGAAAGGTACTGAAGTACAAAGATAAATCTTAAAGCTTTTAAACTCGCCTCATCCAAGATTTCTTCTTTAACATCTCCCGTTGATGGTGTAGTTGGTTCCAGTTGTTCCGGGACAATCTTTGGCATTTCTTCTTTTTGCTCATTTCCCACCTCCATTTTGGCGCATTTGAGTTGCTCAGCTTGGCTAAACAGAAAAACATTCAAAAGAGCGCTATATTTTCTTTACCTTTCAACTTTTTCCTCTTTCACATCAACGCGTGCAATTTTCGGTAAGTCATTCACATTCGCTTTGTAAAGTCTGAAAATATTATGTAAATCATAAAAATTCCACTCAAATCACCCATTTCCAATGATCTCCTTCAAGAATTTCCGTGCTATTTTCGGATTGAAATGCGGCTTGTGGTGACGCGTTGTGCGCAAATGGATCATTCGTTGACCGAAAGTTGCAAATTTTATGGCACACATCGCGCACTCGTAGCCCGTCTTGGAAGAAAGCTAAAGAAAATTTCAGTGACCATATTTCAGTGGCTATTTATTGAATACCTTTACTCCGTGAACAAGTCGTTTATGTCTGATAAGTTCATTCGCAAAACGGCAGACAAAATTGCAGTTTGATGATGGGCAAGTGATCTGTAAAAGGAGACATGAATTGATTGTATAAAGTAAGTGAATACATAAAGGTTAGTCTCAATCGCATTGTCTCAATTCATTGCAAAGCAAGTCTCTAAAAATTTCCTATCACAAAAGCTTAGCAGTAATCAACTTTTCCTATAAGCGAATTTAAGTTTTTCACTACAAATTTAGATGTCTCACTAGACTTCTTGTTAAGCTTTTTCCAATATTATGCAGTTATCAGCTTGTGCTCAAACTTTAAAACCGTACGTAAACGTGCTTTCCAACCCGTTTAGTACAAAATACGTACAGCTGATTTCAAACTAATCTTGTACAATCTTGTCAAGTCATCTTGTATATTTTGTAACTTCTTCAACAAAAAACGAGTCAGTTAGTAAGCTACAAAATCTCCTCCCACAACTCACCACTCCATTCATCCTCCTCGTTGCACTTCTCGGCTTTAAAAGAGCTTTGTTTTCCTCGATCGATTCGATCAAATTCTCGCCAATATGGTTAAATTTCCCATTTGAGTCCTCACTGTCCATTGTGTTCTCATCTTTCGTCAAACAATCCGTATTCGTATGCAAGCTGATGTGACGCTTGATGAGACCGGCTGATTCATTTCTAAATTTAAGCAATTAGCAATAATTTTCTTAAATTTAAACGATAAACAAAAGTAAAACACTTTAAGATAGATTAAATGCAACTCTTACGAAAAGCAAGCCTCTTTAAAAAGTTTTCGTTAACTGAATCTCTTTTAATTTTGCGTTAAATTTTAAACAAATAGGGCTGCTACGCAATCGCGTGGATTCTGCGTGGCTGCCCTACAACTCTAATACAAAAAAGTTAAAAGATCCAGCTTAAAAGATTCAAAGAAACACAATGAACGCACCTGTAGCTACAGTGTGGACATTGATGTCCATCAACTCGATTGTGCGCATCTTTATGGTGTTGAAGGCGTTGATTGACATGTGAGGTGAAGGGGCAAAGTTGACATTTGTATCTACCTAAAATCAACGTTTTTTTTTATAAACTTTTAAATTTTACGTTTATCCTTTGCATCTTCTTTCTTTTTTTGTGCCGTTTCCAAGACATCGAGGTTTGCCGGCAAAGAGTGGCGATACTCTGGGAAAAAAAAATGGTGAACTTTGATTAATTTTGAGTATTTATTAAAGAAAGTTTGGAAAATAATTATAAAAATAGAAAACCCCTCTACGGTTGCTGTGTTTATTTTGTACGTTTTCCAAAACGGTGCATTCCAGAAAAAGTTATCGTACTCCGATTGCATTTAAACCAGTTTACCGTATTTCTTCGAATAGAGGACCGGGTAAAGAGTATCATCGCGTACTCCTGCGTAGCAGCCCTTTTTAAAATTTCTTTTCTGCATAAAAGCTTTCAATGAAGTGCTATAGGGCTGGAAAATGACTCAAAAATACCACATGAACTAACAGATTTTTGAGCCATTTTCCAGCTCTATCGCACTTGATTTAAAGCTTTTATGCAGAAAAGAAATTTTATAAAGGGCTGCTACGCAGGAGTACGCGATGATACTCTTTAGCCGGTCTTCTATTCGAAGAAATACGGTAAACACGGTCAGACAGACGGATTACGGCAACTTTTAGTGAAGGGTATCTTTTAGAAAAAGCTTGAATTATCTGTTCAAACTGCAACACTCACTATTCAATCCAAAATGTGATTTCAGAGCCGCTCCGACACTCGTTTGCGGTGGTGTTTCTTGCAAACTTGACAAAATCGCTTGCCGAACTCCATTGGATGAAGACTGACGGTTCATTGACTAAAACGAGTCAAATTTTCGATAAAATACTCAAAAATTACAGCAATTTTGTTGTTCGGCAAGAGGATTCGGTTGTTTCTAACGGATTGCATCGATTTTCCAGCGTTTCCCAATCGCGCTCCTTTACTTTCAGCTAATTGTGAAAGCCTATAATTTCACTTAAAAAATGAAAAAATCCAAAATTCTTACTTGAACATTTTTGCATAAGGTGAAGTGATCTTTCTGGTAATGTTGGGAATTGTTGGAGCATCTTCATTTGATTCGGATGATCCCTGAAAAGATAAAAATGAAAAAGATTAAGAATGTTTGAGATTTAGATGTGAAATATTGTGTTTAAGTTGTAAAATACTATAAGCCAGAGCCAGACTTTACATTGATATTAAAATCAACACGTTCAAAAAGCTCAAGTATCAGTTTGGAGAAATTTTAGAGTTAAACTTTTAATGGTATCCAATTAAACGCCCTATTTTGTCCAAATCATATTATAGAATGTCTCAAAAGTTCTGAAACTTTTTATAAACGATCATTTTTACTCAGAAAATGCGCTACTTTTGAAAAACTAACGCCAGATTATGAAAATTCGAGCATTATACTCTTTTCTATAGAAAAAATTGCAATTTTAAACAACTATTTAACTGTTTAAAGGTTTTTAAAGCGTTTTTTGTTTTGTTTTTGAGATCTAGAATTACTAGAATCGATAGAATTGCTAGAAAATCCGCAGAATTGCTTGAAAATCTTTTATTTTTAAGATTTTAACTTCGTTTATGCCTTTTTTTTCAAAAAAGAACCGAAAATCTATCAAATTATAACAATAGTTATTAGTAAAAGTTTCATTTTGCGCTGTTTAAATCAACTTTTACAAAAATCTTCATCGATCAGACCCAAATGTAAAAGATTTTCGTCAAAAACGTCAAAAATGTCAAAAACCAGGCATAAATGAAGTTAAAATCTTGCTGAGAGTTGAAATTTTTTTATGAAAATGGGCATAATGGGGTAAAAAAATCTGAATTTGTAGAATCTGGTTATAGTTTTTCAATTCCAAAAAAAAAATTATTGCTTACACAAAAAATTATTACTTACTGCTAAACGTGTCAAAACTTTTGAGACACCTTTTGGGACAAGAATCTAACATCAAAAAACAACAACAACAACAACAACAAACCTGTTTCTTGTCCTGTTGAGCAAGAATTGTTCCATCGGAAAGCCGCTTGACTCCAGTTGTTGTCGAGGTTGATGCTTGTGTCATTTCATCAACGATTGAGGCCTCATTTGATGACTGCCAATCGGGAACCAGCTAAATTTAAATGATAAAGTACAGATACGGTGCTGTATTAGCATAAAAGCATCAAATTAAATTTACCTCATGTGATCGTTGATGGAGACGACTTGCTTTCTGAGTGCCACAAGAAAAGTCACATTTATCGCACTTGAACATACGGATATCTAAATGTTAGAGTTATTCAATTATCATTTAAATACAAGTTTGATGATTAAATACAAGATGACACAAAAGTTTGAAGCCACCCCGTTTTTAGGGTGTTCGCTAACTTTTTAGAGCTATAAGTTTCGCGTTCGGAGCCACCTTAACAGAAAATTTTTTGAAAAAACAGTTTAGAATTTTGAAAGCTAGATGAAATTTCGGTCTAGAAAATATTTTTTCACAAAAACAGAACCTTCATCTAGTCTATATCAGAACCATCATCGAATCTATATCAGAACCTTCAACAGATCTATATCATAACCATCATCGAGTCTATATCAGAACCATCATCTAGTCTATATCAGAATCTTCATCTAGTCTATATCAGAACCATCATCGAATCTATATCAGAACCTTCAACAGATCTATATCATAACCATCATCGAGTCTATATCAGAACCATCATCTAGTCCATATCAAAACCTTCATCGAATCTATATCAGAACCTTCATCGAATCTATATCAGAACCTTCATCTAGTCTATATCAAAACCTTCAACAGATCTATTTCTTAAACAACAGTTAAAACTTGAAATCCGATTACGATTCATTAACTTCTAATAGCTATAAGTTTAACTCAAAACAACCTGAAATTTTGCTATTTATCTAGAAAGTGTTTAAAAAATTGAATTGCTTTTAACTTAATTAGAAAATTCAGATTGTTTTTGAGAGAATTCAGATTCAGATTCAAGCGTCAAAGCATTTAGATTGATTCTAGTAATATATTGCCAATTAAAAGACTCACTCTTTACTCTTAAAGCCTTCACAAAACTTGTTTGCTTTAACAAAACAAGACAAAACAACAAATTTAACACAAAATTCCCATCATTACAAACATTTTTACGAATATTCATCGTTGCCTAGTTTTTTTGTTATCTTAAAAGCTGAATTTGATAACCGAAAAACAAGGTGACTCCGAACTTTTGTGTCACTCTGTACATTCTTACAAAATTCATTGATATAGGCTACAGATCTAGTTCAAGTTTGTTATTAGATTAAACTTTAAAATCCTCACCAAGTCCACCATGCATCCTCGCGTGATTGCTTAAGCCCGATTTCGATCCAAATCTCATCGGGCATTTGTTGCATCCGATTGGGCCAGTGACGAGAAAGCTCTAAAAATCTTTATAACACAAAAAAAATCGAGGGTTTTAATCGAGGGATAAGCAAATTTTGTTTACAAAAGTCATAAATGCTTACAAGTTAGTGTCAGAGTTGGCGTGTCAAACTGTTTGACGTTTTTAGCTGTTTTAGCTGTTTTTAGCTGTTTTTAGCTGTTTTTGACTGTGTTTTGAGTCTTTAACAAGCTCATTTGGTTATAAAAAGTCTGTTCTAATAGTAAGTTTTGTTCTGTAATGTAGAACGTGGCTATTAGACAATTAGACAATTAGACAATTAGACAATTAGACAATTAGATAATTAGATAATTAGACAATTACACAATTAGTTATAACAATAGATTTTGTTTTCTAGCACCTAATGATTTCAATTAGCACACTTTTGAGGCTTTAAAGATGAAGATTAAAGATGTGCAAGATTGTTAATAACTGGCTGTTAATAACAATGTCAATCAGCACACTTTTAATGCTATAAAGATGAAGATTGTCTAATAGCCGCGTTCTACATTACAGAACAAGCTATGTGCAAGACTGTTAATAACTGGCTGTTAATAACAATAGTTAGGCTAATAGGCTTATCTGCTAATAGGCTAATAAACTCAATTATTCAAAACTCACATCATCCTCTTCATCACTGTTCCCATCATGTGTGTAGCACGAGGCGATCCTAACGGGTATCTAAAATCAATGATGTTGAAAATGATTGGATTAAAAAAATGAAAATGATTATCCTTCCAACTCCGACCTTTCTTGCTCGTTGTGTTCTCTTCTTTTCATCTAAATCATCATGATCATCATCGCTTTCATTTAAGTCGGCCATTTGCGGGCTCAGCGTTGGCGGATGAGGACTCGACGAATCGTCACGCTAAAAAGAGATGTTGAGTATTGAAGTGAAAAAGAATAAAGTCAATCAAAGATAAAGTTAATCAAATCTAAAGTTAATCAAAGCTAAAACTAGTTCAAGTCCTTAACTTCGTTCAGAACTATAGACCTAAACCAATGTGACAACAAAGTACTGTTGTACCTTTTAAGTACTTTGTTTCAACATTGAACATAAAACTTTGAAGCATTGAAGTACTTTGTTACAATATTAAACATAGAACATTGTTTACAACATTGTTTTATTGAAGAACATTGTTTACAACATTGTTTTATTGAAAAACTTTGTTTAATTTAGCTCTAGAATTGAGCAGAATTCAACAAAATTAACTAAAAGACATTGAAATTGAAAGAAATTTTGAGAAATCTAGTTTCTGATTCAAGAAAACAACTAGATCAATTTCAAGTTTCACTTTTTTCGAGCTTTGGGAGATGCTTGTAAGTCTGGTGAGTCTTTAAATGTAACAAAAATATGAGTAACAAAGCAAGATCGGAAGTCAAGTCAACAGAGAAACAATAGAGTTGAACCTAAGCTATAACAATGAAGGGAAGGTCTAGAGCAGACTGGACTAAGATCTAGGACTGATCTAGAACTGAAGGACTGAAGGTAAGGCAATGAAACTTGGGCTAGGAGTTGACAAGTACCAATAGAGAAGCTAACTAGAAAACTAACTAGATTGACGTCGCTAGGTGCCTTTTACTTTTAACTTCTTCTAGAGTCGACTACGCTGATTCTGAATCTGTTTTCAGATCTGTAACTATGCTTATCGACCTGTAACTATGCTTATTATCGATACAAACTCATGATTGACCGTTCAGCGCTCAGTTTCTAGAACAGATATTGATCTGAAAATTGTTTCATTGGAAAGTCAAGAATGTCAGCTTTTGATTGCTATTATACATAGCGACTTTTAACGAGGAATGAGCAACTTTAATGAATAATGAGCAACTTTAACGAGTAAGCATCTCGTAAACCTTATCGATACTTATCGATATCGAAAGTATCGATGAACAATAAGCTGATCAATAAGCTGATCAATAAGCTGATCAATAAGCTAATCAATAAGCTGATCAATAAGCTGATCAATAAGCTAATCAATAAGCTGATCAATAAGCTAATCAATAAGCAAATCAACAAGCTAATCAATAAGCTGATCAATAAACTGATCAATAAACTGATCAATAAGCTTAGCTGATCTATAAGCTGATCTATAAGCTGATCTTTCAGCTGATCAATAAGCTTATCGATCTTTGAGTATCGATTATCAATAAGCTTATCAATAGTATCGATAAGTATAAGCTTTTTAAGGCACTTGCCTATGAGATTTTGCTATGTGTGAGATATCAAAAGCTGACATTCTTGGCTTTCCAATGAAACAATTTTCAGATTAATATCTGTCCTAGAAACTGAGAGCTTAACGGTCAAATACGAGCTTTCCGTTTGTATCGATAAGCAAGTCTACCTGTAACGCAAGATACCCTGGGTCGATCCTGAATTTCTTTTTTTTTAATCTAACGTTTTGCAGGCTCTCAATTAAAGATTTGGTAAAAAGTCATTACTTTCATTCAATTAAAAACTCGAAACTTAAAAAACTTAAAGACTTAAAGAAAAAGAAAGATTCAAAAGCTCATTACTTTCATTATCATTTCGATTTCTAGCTATAGCTAGATTATAGCTAGTAATTATAGCTAGTAATTATAGCTAGATTTAAAAACCAAAATTGATCAAAATTGGCAAGAAGAGGATCAAACGGTGCTATTGCCAAAATTGCCGACAATTTTAGTGATGCACTACGTCGATAAACAAGTCTAGATGTTGATAAGCAAGGTTAGTTGTTGCTTAGCAAGTCTAGTTGTTGATAAGCAAGTCTAGTTGTTGATGAGCAAGTCTAGTTGTTGCTTAGCAAGTCTAGTTGACTCCATTGCAAAAAAAATGAACAACTAAAGAGGCTTAAAAATTGTCACCAAAATATCTCGCGTTACAGGCCTCAAAGACAAAAACTGAAAACAGACTCAGAAGCAGCGTAGTCGATATAAGATTTCTATGTCTATAAAGTCTATAAGATGATCTTGTTTTAAAAGCTCACGAGCACCTGGCAACGTTCTCTAGTCCTCTAGTTCTTTAGTCCTCTAGTTCGCTAGTACTCTAGTGCGCTAGTTCGCTAGTACTCTAGTTCGCTAGTTTGCTAGTTCGCTAATACTCTAGTCCTCTAGTCCTCTAGTTCACTAGTAATCTAGTTCGCTAGTTCTCTAGTCCTCTAGTTCGCTAATACTCTAGTCCTCTAGTCCTCTAGTTCGCTAATACTCTAGTCCTCTAGTTCACTAGTAATCTAGTTCGCTAGTTCTCTAGTCCTCTAGTTCGACTTGATACTAGCTATAAACCTGAGCTAACTATCATCAGAAATAAATCTATCATAATTCCACAAATGCCAATCGAATTCCACTCACCTCTTTCAAATCCATCAAATGACTGTTCGCCGATCTTCGTCCCGAACTTGAGCAGATCCCCGCTACATCCAGATGAAATTTGTTCCGTTTCGATCGTCGCAACGACTCCGCTGAGCCATCCAACGACATTGTTCTTGATGTTTTTCTGAAATTCGAAAATTTAGCTCTTTGTATACAATGAAAGTTAAGAATTTTAAAGAAATTTTAAAGAAACAAGCCTTATGCATAATATTTGTCGAAAATGAAGTAACAAAGAAAGGTTTTAGTCTTTCAATAAATCAACAATTAGACGGTTTTCAACAATTAGACGATTTTCAATAATTAGACGGCTTTACAGAGAGAGATGAAGTCGGAGTTGAGTGAAATTTTATAAAATACACTTTTCACTAAAGCCGTTCGATGTTAAAGGTTAGAGATTTGGAAATGAATTGAAATTTTACAAATTGAAATTACAAAAACAAAGCGCAGACAGTTTCGCAAAGCGTTTTTAGGTGCACGACGGTACTCTTTGATTATAACTTTTTATAGAATTATCAAATTTGGGCATTGGCATTGCTTAGGCATTGCTTAGGCATTGCTTAGGCATTGCTTAGGCATTGCTCAGGCATTGCTTTTCGTGTCATTCGATTCGGGAGAGGCTTTCCTAGTGAATCACATTCAAATCGAGTCGATTCGATGCGTTTTTAAGGAGTTTTAAGGGGGTTTTAAGGGTTTTAAGGGGGTTTTAAGGGGGTTTTAAGGAGTTTTAAGGGGTTTTAAAGCAGTTTTTAAGCAGTTTTTAAGCAGTTTTAAGCAGTTTTTATGCCTATGAACGGTTGAAAAAAAAATATCACTGAGAAATCAAAGAAACTATCACTGAGATTTCGTAGAAATTGAAATTTATTGAAGTTTGACTCAGGCTAGCGAACGGTAGGATTTAGCCGAATTTAGCATTTATTTAGCGAACGGTAGGATTTAGCGAATCCGAACGAAAACGATGACTTATCGTTTGCGCTATCGTGTTGCCCTTGCGTCTGACTTGCGCAAGACACATAGTACTTACTAGAAAACTGTAAGCTTTAGCAGGCGCAACTTCGAACCAAAGCTACACTACTGGACAATGAAATATGATATTTGAAAAAACGATCGTCACTTTCGCGCGTCTGTAACTCCCTTGTCTTTACCGTATTTCTAAATCTAATCCGGGAGAGCCATAGTCCAAACTTTAATCTTTTTTGCAATCTTTTTTTGGAGAAGCTGCTCATTTAGAGGAACCTTGTAAAAAATGTTTCAACGATTTAGAGAGGGAGACGAAAGGCTACAGGATCGAGGAAGGGGAAGTGGAAGGGAAGGGAAGGGGAAGAGGAAGGGGAAGTGGAAGGGAAGGGAAGGGGAAGAGGAAGAGGAAGGGAAGGGAAGGGGAAGAGGAAGAGGAAGGGAAGGGAAGGGGAAGAGGAAGGGGAAGGGGAAGAGGAAGGGGAAGAGGAAGGGAAGGGGAAGTGGAAATGGAAGTGATCACCCCCACCAGCGCTTAACGATGACGATCTTCGAGAAATCATAGAAGATGACCAAACCTTCTCGACTCGGGAACTTGCAAAAATGTTTGCTGTAGGCCACACAACAATTGTGAACCATTCGTTTGGGTAAAGCGAATCTCACGAATCGCGAATCGCGAGTCGCAAGATTCACTGAAAAGGGAATGTGGTGATCGAATGACACGAGCCACGACTGGTCTAGACTAGTCGACGCAGAATTTCACGCTGATTCCGAATCGGCTTTCCGTTTTCGCTATGGAGCGCTCTGTGAAATGTTATAAGTGTGCAAAGTTTTGTATGTAGTGCAATGCTATGTTCGTATCGTAAAATTGTTCATATCGTGGGGTTTAAAATCATAGTTTTAAATAGTTTTAAAATCATCTCTTGAGTTTAGAAGCAGAATTTCTAAAGAGGCTTTGGAAAGCAATGGTGGGGATCATAGACGCCGCGACAACTTTTCCCCGAAGCCAAGCATACGAGCTCTGGTCTTTCGGTGCAAAATTCGTCGGCGCAATTTTCGTTTTTTGACTTGCTGCTGAAAATCGCTTGGCGCAAATTTTGTTTTTTTGCTTATGGCGAAATTTTCGCGGTGAAACCGGCGCAAAAAAACTATTTGAAATGGAGATCAATTTTCTTTTGTTTTTTTTTTTTAATTGTCCTTCGGTAGGGATTGAATCTTAAGTAAATAAATAAGTAAAGGCGAAATCATTTTAGCTCTGTTAGAATCAAATTCTTTCCTTTAGGCAAATACGTACCGTAAATACTATAATAGTACCTCACCCTCCTACGTACAGTCGTACAGTCGCGTAGTCGCAAAAGTTTTATAGTATTTCGTTTTTTTGCCCGTACTTCCACAAAAGCGCGCGTACTTTCAAAAAATGCGTCTTAAGAATCAAAAAATAGCTGAAATTCAGGGCTATTTAAACGAGGGCTTTTCTCGACACTGGTTTAAGCTACAATGCGCGCTTTGGTATCAAAAAATAGCCCTGAATTTCAGCTATTTTTTGATACCAAAGCGTGCATTGTAGCTTAAACCAGTGTCGAGAAAAACGCGTTCAAAGTGCGGAGCGCTGCGTAGTCTAACTTTGAACGCGTTTTTCTCGACACTGGTTTCTGCTAGAATGCTGGCTTAAGTATCAAAAAATAGCTGAGATTCAGGCCTATTTTTTGATACCAAAGCGCGCATTGTAGCATAAACCAGTGTCGAGAAAAACGCGTTCAAAGCTAAGCCAGCCTACGCAACACTCCGCACCGTCATTATGGGGCTGCACATTCGCGCGAAATAAGGCAAAAAATTGTTTTCTATAGGATTTTTACGTTTCAATAGCCGATTGGCGCAGAAAAATGTGCTGAATCGGAAAATAAGAAAAGAAAAAAAAAGCTTAAAGCACTATTTTAAAAATTTGAAAAAACGTACATTCAAAAAAAGTTTAAGAATTGAAAAAAACGGAAAAACGATAATAAAACTGAAACCAAACGATAAAAATATAAAAATAACGAAAATGAAATAAGAGAAAAATGGGAAATTAAAAACTGAACCTGAAAATTTTCCCCTCTAAACGCCTCAAATCTCTCCGCAATTTCAGTGTGCCGATGGGAATTTTAGCCCAAAAAAAAAATTTCCCCAACTTTAATTTGCATACTTTAATTTGTGGCACCATATAGAAAACATCTGCGCAAAGATCGAATCATCGAATCTTTCCTAGAATCACGGAATGCAAAAAAAAACGGGAAATCGAATAGAAACTGTCGCAAAATTTGAGCAATTTGAGCAAAAAAAAAACTCGGGATTTCGTTGCGTCATTTAACACATTCGCGACGAGGCGTTTTTTTTTTTTGCGTTACTGCCCCAGCGGTGTCTCGCAAGAGTGTCTCGGGGTGTCTCGCAAGGACGAGGGGTGTCTCGCAAAATTGCATTCATAATCGGCTACGACAATAGGAAGCGCCCTGAGTGTCCGTCAGTCAGAGCTGACTCTAGATCTGGCTAGCTGGCTCTAGATCTGGCTAGCTGGCTCTAGATCTGGCTAGCTGGCTCTAGATCTGGCTAGCTGGCTCTAGATCTGGCTAGCTGGCTCTAGATCTGGCTAGCTGGCTCTAGATCTGGCTAGCTGGCTCTAGATCTGGCTAGCTATTAGCCCCGAAATACACCTCCTATGTGTAAAATTTCACGCTGAATCCGAATCTCTAATCATATTTGTGAGAATATTGCTGCCTCAAAAAGAACTAATCGAATCTTTTTACATTTTGAAATTATCTTAAAAAGTTGAGAAGTTATAGCGCGTCAAAAATTTCGTCCACCGGTGGACCGAACCGTCCCAGGGGCCAGACTGCTTTCGTCCACCGGTGGACCGAATCGTCCCAGGGTCCAGACGGCCTTCGTCCACCGGTGGACCGAATCGTCCCGAACGTATTAAAAACTCGCTCAGTCTAACTAGTGAATGGCACGTAATTTTCGTGAGCTTTTCTTCTGGATCATATAAATCTTACTAAATCGAGTATCAAGATTAATCTGAAAGCAAAATCCCCCAAATAAGGCTGCAAACGGTAAAAATTCGATTGAAATCGAACATCAGTGTTATTTAAATAAGAATAAAAAAGAAAAGCCTAGGTCGGAATCGAACTCGGGTCTTGCTGTCGATCTTGTCTTGATCTTGCTAGAAATCTGGTGCACTGATTTCTAGCAAGATTCAAGGAATTCAGTGTGCCAGGAGGCTTGCGTTTACGAGAGTACAAAGTACAGTACGAGAGACTGAAGATCAACGCCAACTTGGTCCATTAAATAACCAAAGTTTTACGGCACTTTGTGCTCTTTCAAATGCACACTTTTGAGCAATGGATTTTCAGCTTTCCCAAGCTTCACTAAACTGCCAATGAGCAATACTAAAATTCGTTAACAATCCTAAAGTTAGAGAGTTCAGTGCGCCGAAAGCTGGTGTTTATGCCAGCTGGCGTACAAAGAACGAATCGAACTCTCGTCTCTTTTGAGCTCTTCAAGTCAAACTTCGTTGTCAGCTTATGCTTCAAAATAACAAGCAAATATTCCGTTGATTTGATCGCAAAAATTGTCCAGAAAAATTCGAGGAAAGAAAGGAGGGAAAGAAAAGAAAAAGAACAGATAAAGAGACGTTCGTCTTTCAGAAAAAGATGAATCACCAATAAAAGTGATCGAAAAAAGGGGAAATGGAGCGAAATTTGGATAAAGTTGATTTCAATATGAGTTTATATTAGCATTACAGTCAAATTGTATTCTTTTTGAGCAAATAATTACTTAAATAAATTCACGTAAGTAGTTCGATCTAGCGAAGAAGCAACAATTTCGATGAAAGATTTGACGCGAGCGAGAAAGACTTGACAGTCAGTCAGAATTATTAGAATTTTGCCTTGTTCCACCGAAGCCTGATCAGAACCTACCAAGACCTAGATCTAGTTCCCAGTCCAGGTCTACATTAAAGCCAAGCCAGGAAAAAACCAGGCTCTTGGCTTCGATTAGAATCTTTTCTAGAATTTCTTCAACTGGCTGCTAGGTAGGTTCTGATTTGATCAGGTTTACAAACGATCAAGTCAGCACTTATCTAAACCCCAGGTCTAACAAGGGAAAGGATGGATTCGTTTTCG